GCCAGCCCCAGCAGCACCTCCAGACGACTGAAAGGAAGATAGAAATCTGTGACGCCCCAGGTCTCAGTAAGCCTAATTTTCATCCGGAGGAGTTGCCGCGCCTGGAAATAAAGGAAGATATGAAGAAGCCAACGCAGGAGGAGGAGCAGAGCAAGGTGTCCCCGATGAGTCATTATGATGAAGCCAGCCGTGCTGCTCAGCAAATGCTCAGGAAGACCCCCTTTTCCGAAAGGTATCTGGTGACACCTGAGCAGAGTACCTTTGCACGGTCTGACCAGAAATCGGAACAGGTGCCGGTGCCCAGAAGACAGTCGGCGCCCCAGGATGCTCAGCGCCAGCCCACCCACCTGCCGTCTGTGTCAGCCACCCGCAGAACCTCTAGTGAGATTGATTCAAGGGGAAAGTGAAGAGAAATATCTTGCCAGCGGCGTTGAGTTGGAGTAGTTTAGTTGTGCGTTTTCGTTAATGGCCGTGTAGGCGCAATTTTGTAGTCGGTTTAGTGTCTCCTATATTATTAAATTATTTTCCACCTATGTGTCTTGTCTCTTCTGTACTCGAGTTTATGTGTGTTTTTTTGTGTTTCCATGACGATGTCTTATTCCAGTCCAGGTGGCATTCTAGTGACTGTGGATATTCACAGAGCCGATGGTGCTCAGCTCCTCCAGTGTGGAACCGAATTGTCTTATGGAAGTATGTGACCTTCAGACTCGTAGTGTTTAATCAACGTTAGTATAAAATACGTGGGAAAACGAAGGTAAGATTGAACGCGCAGTGTAGAGACAGAGGTTTCATGCAATTGGTGGCCGCAATCCAAAGGAACTAGCAGGAGTCTAGAGCAGGTGAGAGTTTAAGCAAACTACGGGGAAAGCATGGAAACTCGGGGTAATTTTGATGATTTCAAGACACGGGGCCCACAAATGTCACAATGCTAAAACTGAGGAAAACGCAAGTGCAATAAGATAAAAAAACGTCAGTATATCGCGTAGTGTTAAGGCCAAAAGATTTTATCGTAACGGCTGCGATCTTCCGGGCCCGGTCCCATAGGAGAAAAGAGAGAAGTGGTGGGAAGGCCAGATTGGCAGGAAGATTGTTGTCTGTACAGGGGGGTTGAAGAAAACCTAGTAGAAGATTTGACTCGATATGGCAAGCTTCTGACCGTGAAAGCGCGGGGTCGTCAACGGCGCCGACAACGCTGCCTGTGGCCGCTTCCTGGCGGGGCGGATTAAGAGGTCATGCCCGGTGGCCAACAGTCGAGTGACCACTGTTAGTTGTCTTTGTCTTATGCAGCCTTGAAGGTGATAGGTTGTACCTCGCGAGGCTACGCACAGGCGTGGGCGTGTTAGTCGGTCGCGCCCGCCAAAGAGCGAGAGGCGGACAGGGTGCTGCGGGCGTTCACACAAGAGTACTTGTCAAGGGCAGTTATCGTGACTGCAGCCTTGGCATGATGAGTCAACGATCACGGATTCCCACAGTGGCCGCTAGCGGCCACTACAAGCACGGCTAAATGGGTAAGGATCATTTGCCTCAATAAGCAGGACATGAGGACAAGAACCACAGGCCATGCGAGTACCTTTGCGCCAAGTTCAGGAAAAGACAGCCAATCAGTAACCACACCTAAGTCTATGCCAATCAAATATTTCTGTACAACAGGGAAGAATGGTAAGGGATTGCATCTCAGAGTAAAAAACGGTCGAAGCATCCGGAGCAGGATAAATGAAAAAACGCCACACGCAATACAATTGTCTTTGCGCCAAACCCTGAGGAAGATAGGGTTAGGTTAAAGGCAGCGATAGGGGCAATTTGGGTTTAGGGTTAATATAGATAATAGGGTTAAAATTACAGCTACTGTTTCGCCCTTTGCCTTCTCCGACTGTATCCAGCAGTCACGCGTACGCCAAAACCAGTG